AGATGTAAGAAAGAGAGTGTGTAAGTCTTTTTTTTATTTGGTTCAAACTGACCCAATAATATCCATCACATCTTGTGTATATATGCAAATCACTATATACAAATAACACAAGCGATATTTTAGAGACATGAGAGAAAAAACTAGAAAAAGGATACACACTATCAAGCCCTGAAGCCTAACTATATCTAATTTTGTGTAGAAAAAAGTGGTGAGGGTAAAGGAAAAATTGTATCGAGTGATTTTATTTTTAATTATTAAAGCTCGTGTTTGGCTCCATTTTTTTAAATTCATTTCAATCACATATTTTACTTACGGGGTCCACAATTTTTATCATCTTTTCTACCATACATTTTATCTAACTAAAATAAAATTTGATTTTTAGCTAAATCAAATAGAAGCAAAGTCTCTTCTTCCGTGGTTGTATGTGGTTCGTCTAACCACGTTTAATTATTACATTTCCTTTTGATTCATTTTGTGTTTTGTATTTTTGCTAACTCTGGGAATCTTTTTTTTCTTCAGTAGTGCTATTAGATCTCAATGTACAAATTTTTCGATTGCTGCAAAGACGATGACAAATTTCAAATTTGTGTTGGAGTGTTTTGAAGGGAAGAATAATTTTAACATTTGGCGAGTACAGATGAAGATATTCTCGTGACTTGTTGAGATCTTTTGTTCATCAACAGAATTTTCTTGTTCCAACAATGCTGCTGCCTTTTGAGCTGCAATTCTCTTGTAATGAGCCTTGAAAAAAGCCTTCTTCTTGGCTACTGATCCTGGCTGTAAATACCTCTCGGCCTCTTCAACGTATTTCTTGTGAGAAAAGGTCGATCATTTTCCCATGACAAGGATTCCGACATACCTCCCAAAAGAAATCGACTCCCCAAGAGCAAGCATGGGGTTCCCCTGTAATACATACCCCCTTAACTTTCATTTTTCACAGAATCAAACTTCGAAGATGTCGCATATTAAGTCCTAATCACTGAAAACTGAAAAAAGTACACAAAGTTTATAGCAGTTCACACTCGATGTTAGAGTTACGTCCACTAGTGGCTCAGGGCTGGTCCTCAGATTTTAGGGCCTTGTGCCAATTTTAAATATGGAGCCCCATATTTGAAATTGTTCCAAGCCCCCAAAATCTCAGGGCCACCCTGATATTGGTGCAAAGATGTTATTTTAATTTTACAACTAAACTCGCCAAAAAACACTGTTTGGAAAGTAAAAGAACCACTTACATTAACGCTAAAAGAGCTCCTCTACTCATGTCCCAATCCTAAATACTCAAGGCTCTGAAATCATTTTCTGCGGTAGTCATTGACATGGATACAACATAAATCAGTGGTTCTGGACCTTATCCACGCATTAAGACTTACTCTGTGTAATATTTTGTCCACTGTATCAACATACCATCAATGGCATAGGGAAATTGCAAGCAACTTTTTTTCCTTTATATTATAGAAATTATTGGTTTTTTGGTTCATTCTGAGATGCTTGTAAGGGTACAGCAGAATTTTTTTTTTGCTTGCCTGTGTTTTTGATTCATTTTGGAGTTTTATTAGCTTCTAAAGAGCCTCTCATATTATTGTTTTAGATACAAGTTTTTTCACACACAGTTGCCAATATGATGCTCTTTTGGTGAAAGTGAAGATTACTGTACTAATTGATGGGAAAAAGATTTCGAGCAGCCAACTCTTTTCTTCTTAGGCATGATGTGCTTAACGGAACTCAAAAGACTGGTGGACGAGTGAAATATCTTCTGATAGTACTATCACTCTAGAGATCTGTGACTTGAAGTGAGGAAGCCAATGATCATGAAGTGAATTAGAAATTAAAATCCAAAGTTTACTTTCGAACGATTGTACTGGTGATTTATAATATGGTGCCAAAATAGACGTGTCAAAGACCGACACAGTGTGTCTCAAGCCATAAATATTGCTTGATCACCAAAGCATTCATTGAAGGAAACATTCTTAAGAAGAAGTAGAATTATTTTTCGACTTCGTAACTGATAACATTATAATAAGTAGTCTTTCTGAGTGTTTGCTCTCATGCTAATTTAAATTTCTTCTGAACTGCAATCATCCCTAAGGTTTTGAAAGTCCTAGAAGGGTATTTTTTTTATTGGACAACTGAACGGCGAAACAACTCCTCAGTTTCTTTTGATTGGTACTCTTTATTTAATAATGAGCTCTGGAAAATCTTTGAAAAAAGGTGATTATGCTGTGGACTAAAAGCATAAAAACTATGATGACATTCGGTTTATACCACAATGGCAGGAACTGAATGTACCAAACAAGGAAAATGTTGAAACCAGTTTATAATTTATTTAGCCAAAGCAGGGTATGTGGACTGAATTTGAGGTGAAATATGTTTTCTCTACTCAGGCCATGTGAACACTCACAGGTTGGGATAGATAATTAGCAGTGTTCTATGGTTTGAGATGAAACCTAGTTCTGTAACCTCCAAAAGAATAGTTTCCTTTTTGTTTTTGTATTTATTTTATTTTCTTGTAGAAACTCGATTTTTGACCGTTACTTCTTTTCAGTATTAAGTGTTCGAAAACTAAAAAGTCGTGCGCCATTTGATCAAGATTAGAAAAGGGTTCCAATAAGCCTCAGAGTATTTTATGTCAATTACAGAAATAGATTGGTTTAGATGCCCATGAACTTGGTGTCACTTTTTTATCCATTGCATTATTTGGTTTGTCTTATGTAGCAGAAGTACTGAAAGTTGATTAGAATTAGGACAAATGTTCTAGGTTGTTATTCCATAAATTCACCACCTGTGAAACTTGGTTTTTTGTCTAGTTCTGAGCTATATTGTCATACTGCAAAGGTCCAGATTAACAGCATGAAAACAGAATCAATTAAATAGCAAAGTCTACAGTATAAAATGAGTTTCTTTGCAATTGAATTATTCAGTTTCGTGGACTCCTAATCTTTGCATTCGTATAGTATTATTCTTTCTTCGAATAGAACCTTGGTGTTTACATTTAAGCATATTCAAAATCTTGCACCCCAAAATGATGCAAATTAAAACAATCAATAATACATGTGGAGTTCACATCCAAACAGCAAAAGTATTATACTCAATGAATTGGTATACCAACAATACTTTCGAAGCGAATGGCAAAAGATATAAGTATCTAAGTCTCCATTGGCATGATTGGACGAGTTCATTAGGGTATATACTAATGAATTCTTACATCAGATGGAAAACCTAACGTATCCATTACGCCGCAGTCAGGGTTGAAGGAGTAGAAGGTAGGTTCAGTCCGCTGAAATTGTTGTATAAGAACAGCAAAATCTTCCTCTTCTCCCATTGTCATGCTAGAAAACCTAACGTATCCATTAAGCCGCAGTCAGGGTTGCAGGAGTTGAGGCTTGGTTCAGTCCGGTGAAATTGTTGTAGAAGAACAGCAAAATCTTCCTCTTCTCCCATTGTCATGCTAGTGTCTGAAAAACATGAATTTGGTGGGCTGCATTCAGTTGAAGGAAGGTCTAATTCAGATGGAAAACCTAACGTATCCATTAAGCCGCAGTCAGGGTTGAAGGAGTTGAGGGTTGGTTCAGTCCGCTGAAATTGTTGTCGAAGAACAGCAAAATCTTCTTCTTCTCCCATTGTCATGCTAGTGTCTGAAAAACATGAATTTGGTGGGCCGTATTCAGTTAAAGGAAATTCTAATCCAGAATCCAGTCCAGTACTAGAATTATCAACTGGATTCGATGTCAATTCCACTCCAGTACAAAAAGAATCATTTTCAGTGGCAGGAAGTTTAACTCCGGTAATAAATTGATCAAACGACAATGAAATTTGTCTAGCCTGCTCAAATCCGTGTATCTCATCAAGCTGATAGTCACGGCAGCAAGGTGTTTCCATGGTTGGATTAGAAGATGTCTCTTGAAATATGGGTGACAGCATCCAAGAAGAATCATCACTGTTATCAAAAAAGTTCTGTTGAAATTGCTCGCCTTCTGTCATGAGTGTACTTTCATTTTCAAACCAAGATGGAGCAGTAGCACAATCAATATAGTTCCATGGCTGCACCATTTGCAGCTGCTGTTGAAGCAGAGAGAAGGTTTGTTGTGGTGACTGAAAGCTGGTTTGTGGAGTTTGTTTTACTGGCCTGTGGAGTTTGTTTTTCTTGTGACAGCATCTGAGCAAATTGTGACAGTGCGTGATTAAGAGGTTGAAACGGCTGAGCAGGTATTTGCAGTATATTTTCCATCACAGGTCCTTGTTGTGGGGCTGATGGTGCATTATGCTGCATCTGTGGTTGAGGGACTGTTAACTGCCCGCTAAAATCAGGAAGCTGTTGTATTTGTGGAGCCTGACTGTAAGGAGTATGACCAGCATAATACGGCACATGCGAACTTTGCGTTGTGGAGAAAGATGTAACTGATTGGAGGCCATGCAACTGATTTCCAAACCCAAGCATGTCAACATTAGAATGTAAGCCCAGATCTTGTGAATATTTTGGAGGCCATGCATTAGGAGGAATGCCGCCACACAATGGGTTGCCAAGTTGATAGGAGAAAGAATAATCAGGTTTATCAGTTTCTTCAGAAGTATCATATTTAACAAAGGAACACCCTGTAAGAGTAAAAAATGAGTGTCAGGATTTTAACAAGATATCTACCTTCACCAGAGAATAACAAATGGATGCAATTATTGTAAAGATCAAAATAGTAGTACTTCTGTAGTTACATTATGTGTTCATAGATGCATATTATCAATGAATATAAACACAAACTACACATTTGATCATCACAAGACATCATCTATCTTTCATTTAAGAAGATCCAATGCTATTATTGTACAGAAAAAACAGGTAACAAAAAAAAGGACAGTAGGAATTTCGTAACATAAATGTATTATTCACCAGCAAGAAAATGAGGCGGGCCTCCAAAATAGCACATTGACTAGTCATTGCCATGTAATTTCTCACGAACACTCACCAACCAGCAAGATCTTGTAGATCCTATGAAGTTTTGCTGAGTATCCTTAAAGTATAGTGGAATCTAATATTCACACCCTTATCCCTTGAGCATGTTCACAGATTATTAAATTAAATAAACTAAACCTAGAGATCAATAGAGTTCGTTGTCTTGATTAAGAAAAGGAGATCTGTTCACTCATCTACTCCAGAAAACACAATAATTAGACAAAGCACCTAAAGTAAAAATCAATTCAAGCAACAAGCCACATCTATCCATGAATGAATATAGAAGAAGTATATGAATTATAGAAAGAACACAGTGAAAAATGACTAAAAAGGGATGGTCCGATAACCGTAAAAAAATAAACATGAAATTACCTGAATCGATTTCTTGATCTTTGGACTTGACAAATTGAATCTGTTTGTTGACTTGATCTATTTTGGCCTCAAGCTTTTTCAGAAATTCTTCCGGGTTCAAAGCCCTATTCTTAGCCCCTTTATCACCTCCCAAAACCTGCTTCTTGTTACAACCCCGATCATCATATTGCTGCTTCCGCTTGTTATTAAGAGACCCATTTCGGTACAAGTTGATCACCTCACGCACATCGCTACGATTCTCAGGCCACGTTTCAACCTGCCCGTCGGGGCCTATGATCACAGTGCAAGCTTTGACATCACACAAAACTGATAATTCCATCGTCTTCTTCTTTATACATTCTTTTCTCGTCAAGAATGCCTTTTTCTTGGCCCTCAACACATCATTCTTGATAGTTTTTGTTTCAGTCCTTGAATGACCGCCATCATCCGCCATGGTTGTGATCTTTCTTAGATGTAAAGTATATACTACGAGAAGAGAAAATTGAAATAGAGAGCGAGATCAAGATTGAGACGGCAGTAATGTAATTGAAACAGAGAGAAATCGAGAGACGTTTGGTTCAAATTGAAGGCGAGAATTAGAAGTAGGTGTGGCGCGTTCTAGGGCTTCTATATAAGAAAATAAAAAAAGAGCCGTTGGGAAAGAGGGAAATTGAGAGGCGAGGAATGTAATTGAAACAGAGAGCAATCCAGAGACGTTGGGTTCAAATTTAAGGCAGGAATTGCAAGTAGCCGTTGCGCGTTCTAGGGCTTCCATATAAGAAAATAAAAAAAGAACCGTGGGGAAAGAGAGAAATTGAGAGGTGAGAATGTAAGGATCCTTTTGATTGCAAGAATGGAATTTGGATAGAAAAAAAATGAATTTCAAGGAATTTAATTGTTTAGAACTTGTTTTATTGCGAATTGTCAATTAATTGTGTTTGATCAGTATAATTTTTCATCTGGAAAATATTAAAATTTTGGATCTTTTGGCGTTCGTTGACTTTGTTTTTCATGAAAATTATCCATTAAATGTGTAATATTTGTTATAATTGAGAATAAAATTTGTTTCCGTTGCAAAAAAAATTTGGGTAGAGAAGGAAGACACACGCACACGAGACAATGAGACACTTTACAATACGACAGGAGAAGGAAGATTTGGGTAGAGAAGCTTCGCATATATTTTAGGAATAATATTACTTGTACATAAAGAGTTACATAAAAGAAAATTTGTATTGAGTGATTTATTTATTTTTTAATTATTAAAGCTCTTGTTTAACTCTATTTTTTAAAATTTATTTTTAATCACATATTTTACGGGGATCCACAATTTTTATCATATTTTCTACCATATATTTTATCATACCTTTATCAAAAATCTAATAAAAATATGATTTTTAGCTAAACCAAACAGGGCGAAGTCTCTTCTTCCGTAGTTGTATGTGGTTTGTCAAACCACGTTTAATTAATACGTTTCTTTTTTATTCATTTTGTGTTTTGTATTTTTGTTGGTTCTGTGGGATTAATTTTTTTTCCAACAGCGGTACAGATCTCATTGTTTAAATTTTGGGATTGTTGCGAGGACGATGACGAGTTTCAAATTTGAGTTGGAGAAAAGGGTTCCAATAGGCCTCAGAGTATTTTATGTCCATTACAGAAATAGATTGGTATAGATGCCGAAGGACTTGGTGTCGCTTTTTATGTCCATTGCATTATTTGGTTTGTCTATGATGAGGTAGTAAT